CGATTTAATGGCATATGCACGTGTGTGATATGTGACCCACTTGCACGACTTTTCTTCTCACAGGCGCTCCTGTTCTCGAGATGGACGGAGACACGGTCTACCTGATCGACTTCGAGGAGATGCAGCACACACTAACAACGCATCGTGACGACATAAGTCTTCAGTTTAAGACTGAAATGATGACTACACCGCTGTTTCACGCCGTCTCCTCGGTGGATGAACAGTTTTTCCGCGTTGAACTGGTTGGTGGCCGCATCGTGGTTCGCACCAACATGAATGTTCGTCGTCAGGGCGGCTCCTCAGAGGAGGTGAGTTGACTGGCTGAATGGGTATACGAACGGTCGAGAATGGCATAATGGGCTGTAAGCGGAGGCTAGGTCGCAAAGATCAAGAGGACATTGTATTTCAAAGGTAGCTGCCTGATCTGAAAGAAATGATGAGAAGCAGGATTTATGTTAAAGTTTTGTTGAAATTTGGCCTCCCCCTGTATTTGCAATTTTCAACATTCACGGTTACTTGCGGTGAACTGAATTGAATTGATGTATATTTCCCACATCCAGCCGCTCTATTGATCACTATATTATTATGCTACTTATATGAGTGAACAAGTAGGATATCATTATTCGCTAAACTATAATACCAAAGAGCTCTTTTATTCCTATTTTGATATTGACTCTTTCCAGATATATAAAATTTTCGTCTTATCCCAATTCCTCAACTAAAAATGTTATCATCTTCACTAGTAGTTTGGGTGGAGTTGGATTGTCTGTGATACATTTTTGTTCTGAATCATCAGGTCTTCAATTTCCAAAGCCCTCTGCTCTCCGACGGTCAATGGCACACGGTGAATGTACGCAGAAGAGCCAACTTCATCTACGTTAGTGTGGACGGACAAGCAGGAATGACCGGTATGTGGTGTTGTGACTATTTTATAAGAAAAATGTATTAGTATATTCAAATAAGTTATAAAATGAGGCTCACTTTTAATTTTCACTTTTTATTCGATTGATTAAAAACTATTGCTCTCTTTTGCAGGTCAATAGTATTTTAATACGAATACACAAATCACTTAGAGAGAAACTTGAATAAATGGGTGCATCCGATCGAGGTCTGCATCTTGTACTCGAAAGTCTGGAATATATTCCATCATTTAACTTCTTGCTATGGACTCTTTTTCAGGAGAAATTCCTGTCAAGGGTGAAAAACCCTTTCATCTCGCAACGCAACAGATCTACCTGGGGGGCCCTGCGCCTAAAAACTACGAGAAGCCGCCCCCACGAGCCTCTCGTGCCGGCTTCCTGCCCGAGGGGGTTCGATTTACTGGGGAATTGCGCAACTTCTATTGGAATGAGTATGACTTTATTGGCACCGAAGAACTGAGCAAGTCATACGCCACCGACCTGTTGACGCCAAGGGCTGTTGTCCCCGAGTTTCCACAATGGCCACGAGAGCCTACCTACTCGTTGACGCTGATGCCACGACTACGCTACGCTGCTTTGAAGACGCCGATAAAAATGAAGGAGGCCGGCGACATGGTGTTGATTGAATTCAAGACGGAATATGACGGCGTCATTTTGCATGTGAGCTTAATGAGCCATTTAAGGTGTTTCTGTTCTACTGTTGTTTTTTTCGTATCTCCGTCTTCTTCCTACAGATAGCACTTAGCGATCAGTAATTCGTGAAGAGAACTTTAGATACACAAAATATGAAGAGCAGGATGGTGTAGCCCCCGGTATGGTCGCAGTCTCCTTTAGATTTATGGAAGTGAGTTGATCTCGTTTTCGCA